AGGGTTTATCTTGAGACACCCTTGCTAGGGGAGGAGCGGGGAGATGGCAGCAGATTAAACTGGTAAGCAGGGAAATCTCCGCTGCATCAGCAGCTTGACCGGAGGGGGTGTGACTCCAAGAACCGAGCACGGGTGGCTTACTAGGAAAACAGTAATAAAAAGGAGTAGGCAGGAACGGCGAACTCTGGGTTAAACTTAGGTTTTCTCCCCACCAAGCTGGAATCAATGAGAGTTGGTCGCTGGCAGAGCTGGGCCTTAGAGAGGGGCTTTAGATGCTGGAGAAGTAACGGTGGGAGCATCCTAGAGCAGCTGAGCCATGGGACCCATTAGCCAGTGCCCCAGCTGGCCCACGGAGAAGTCGTGCCAGCTGGGAACTTGCAGTCTAGTCTGGACCATGCACAGAGGGAGGCTATCTTGTGGTGGAAGAGATGGGCTTTAATGATCTTCACTTTTCCAGCCGACGGCATCATGGGTTTGCAAACAGGACCTGGGAACCCTGCCCGGACCAGGTCTCTGTAGGCAGAGTGTGCGCATGTCTGTATGCACACAAGTGCAAGCTCTGGATCCACCACTGTTTCACTGTTGTATCGCCTTGGTCTCTCGTGCCTTGGGGCTGAGAGCGGCTGACGGAGAGGCAGCTCTTCTTCAGCATCTCTGCAAGGTGCTGGCCAGCAACTCAGGCTGTCGCTGCCTGGACCACGGCCTTCTTGTTCCAGCTGCAGACGCACAGCTCTTGAAGGAGCAACCCAGGCCTCAGCTGGGCTCCCATGAGGACCGGGGCAGGAGACAGAGGCTCATCAGTGAAACCCAGCGGTGGGATTAGTCCCTCTGCTCCTGCCTTCCCCACACATACAAGCGGGTTATGACATGGGTGGACAGGAAAAAGACCTAGATGTGGCAGTGCCTGGAGCCAGCCTGTTGGTTCGGCCTATAGGCTGATCTGAAGCAAGGCCCCGGCACTGCAAATCTCCCAGGTGCGGAGGCTCCCTGGTAGCGGGGAGCTGCAAGGCAGAGGCTTTTTGCAGGAGGCCTGTCCCATCACCAAATGCCAGAGGGTTTTCCGTGAGCCCTGTTCCCTTCCCTAGCGACCAGACCTGCCACTTCCAGGTCGGTGCCAGGGACTCAGCCTCTCATCTGTTATTAATGAAGATTGATGAGCGGGCGGCAGGGGGTTGATGGAGACCTCTGCTGTGCTGACAGAGGAGCATTTCTGCCCGGGCTGGGGAAGCACGTGTGCAAATGTGTTGCCTTCAGACACGCATGCAAATGTGTTGCTTTCATGTGCGCAAACATATCCCCTTCACGCACACGTGCAGGCCATTTGGCAAAGGGGAGATTTTCCTTTTGGGAATCCATGGGACTGGGTCATGGAGCCCAGGCCCTAGTACACGGGACCGGATGGGACTCCTGGGGTCACGGAGCCCAGGCTTTGGCTGTCAAACCCGGCCACCTTGTGGCATCCCAGCCCTCATCCGTAGCAAGCTCCAATTTCCACGCGCGTGTGAGCCTCCACCAGCTCCTTGCAGATCATCACGTTTCTCCCAGCCCCTCCCCACTCTCCTCCATGGTGCAGCTTGGCAGGAGCTGCTCCTTTAACCAACTCTTGCTCCGCGGAGGGGGGAATGAGTTATCTGCCTGGCCTTTCTCTGTGAGCGGAGGGGCTTCCTGCTGGTCCTTGCTTTAGCCACCTTCTCCCTGCCCAAGCAGAGCTGGGAGTGGGGGACGCACCATCTGGGCTGAGGCTGTTGGCCAGCTGGGGTTTGCCGGCAAGTGTCTTTGCCCCTCAGGGCCCTTGAAAGGTTGATTTTTCTGGTCCGTTTAAACCTCTCCGGCTGGGCAGATGCTATAGGGGGGGTTCTGCAGTGAACCCAAGAGCCAGCCCCTCTCCTTGGAGAGGATCTTCCTGCCCGCTGGCGAGGCCTCAGGACGGGGCTGGTGGGGCAGGACAGCGCGGGGCGTTCCCAGGAGGGTCGGCAGGGAGAGAAGGGCTAGAGCCGGGTCAGCAGGTCCCTTGGAAAGCCGCTCCCCAGGCTGCAGGGTGAGGATGGGAGATGAGCTCAGGGAGCTATGAGTCACCTTGCAGGGGAACCGGTGGCTGGGGAAGGGCTCTGGCAAGGCCAAAGGGGCAGGCGGCTTAGCTCATCCACCCTCCCAGCCTGGGTTGCATGCACAAGCAGCTGGCACGCGTGTGTGCCAGCTACCCGCCCGCCAGCCACCGGCCCACACCAGCCCACACAGGCTGCACCAGCCCCCCGCAGCCTTCCCTACCGAACCTACTGGTGAAGCTGGCACTGGGCAGCTCTGAGTGGGGCCAGACGGCAGCCCCTGGCCACTCGGCCCAGCTGCCGAGCTCCCGGGATTGGCATCGTGCCCAGCCGCCTCCTGCCAACGGTGGTTTTAGCAAGATGGAAAAATAAATCACCAACAGCTTCCAGCTTCCCTTCAATCTCCAACGCCCATGTCACCGAGCCACCAGACACCCCACTGCGCCAGCCTTAGTGAAACCTGGCACCTACCACCCACGAGAAGGGTCTGTGCCCACCGCTCACGCTCACCACGGGGTGCTTTGAGCCCTGTCAACACAGCAGCCAAAAACCCTGAGTCTGAGCCCTGGAAATCGTGAGAAGACTCATGATTTTTTAAGCTATTTTGGGTTTTTCGGGCGGGGGTGGGGGTGGGTGGGTTTCAGCCTTCTGGTTTTTGAACCTTCAAGACAGTTTCACACCATACCGGGCAGAATAAAAGCCATATTATTAAAAAAAAGAAAAGAAAGGAAACTGAGTCTCTCGCTTCGTCATCACAGGCCTCCGGGAGCTGGAGCTTCGAAGGATAACGCACAGTCGCACCGCGAGAGCTGGCCGCGTGGCTGGGCTCCCTGCCTGGCTTGGCTGCTGTTTTCTCTCTGACTTCTCTGCATCGGGTTCCCCGGGCTGATAAACGGGGATAACCCTCGCCCAATTCTCGCAGGACCCCTTGAGGAGGCACCTCGCACCCGGCACCACGGATCCGTGCGGATCCCGGGAGGAGGCAGGCGCCTCTCTCGCAGGGTCCGCTCCGTTTTCAGGCCGTGTCTGTGCGAAGGAAAGAGGCATCTGCCAGGGGATGCTCTTCTCCCAGGTGAGGACCCGAGTGCAGCGATCGGCCGCCCGCAGAGGATACAGCGGGGGGGGGACGGACAATTGTGCACCCCAACTCGGAGGCGAGCAGGGGGGTCTCCTCGGCATTTATAAGGCCTTCTAATAACCTCCCTTCTTCGCACGACGGCCGCACCCCGAAGCCCCCGCCGATATCCGTGCCAGACGCTGCACACGCACCCTGCCACAAAGACCTTCTGACCCAAGAAGGCCGGAGACGTCTCGCTATCTCCATTTTACAGACAAGAAGCTTGGGTTGCAGGGGGGAGCTGTGGTCACACCAGGGGCTCCCCAGAGCCAGCCGGTGCCTTAACCACAGACCAGCTCTCCGCTGTGTTGTGAGAGACAAGGAAAGGTCTGTGACCGGATTCGGGGGCTGGGGCACTTGTGCCCCAGAGGATGAAGCTGCTACGTTTGCAAGACTGCTCAGGGTGGCTCTCGTTTTCCCATTGCTATCTACAGCCTAGTACAACAGAGATGCTTTCCCCGGCTACCAATTCGGAGCTGCAGCTGCTCCAGCATTTGGAGGGGGCTGGAAACGGTTCCAAGGAAGGAAACCCTCCGGGAACCAGTCCAGTTACTTTGGCCCCCGCTCTGCTCCTCTCCTCGCCGCTGTGCAGGCTGCTGTGAGAAGCAGAGAGGTGCAAAGGGCATCCCAGAGACTTACCTTTCAGGCAGGAGGGCTTAAGTCCCATGTTTTCATCCTTTTAGCGTGGAGTGGCTCATGAATCAAGCCCGCGGCGCCCAGCTCAGCTTCTCTGTTCAGCTCCTGCTGCAAAGAGACAAGCACTTCAGAAAGCGCTGAGAGGGGGAAAAGATCACTGGCAGGTTTCACTTGCTTTGCATCTGAAACGTCGGTCTCTGCCTAAGCCAGTGCGTGTGTGTACACACACACACACACACACACGCACATAAATATACACGGCCAGTGCTGAACTAGTGCACAACAGGAAGCCGTGGTTATTCATGACAGCCAAACCACCAACTGATGTCATGGCATTTACTGACTCAATCTCGGTTGTTTAGTTTAAAGGAGAACTTGGGGGAAACTTTTCGGCTGGCTGCTGTTTCGGAGAGAATCCACTAGCTGCAGGTGCTCTCAGCACCGCTTCACCCTGGCTAGATGGGAACACTTGCCTTGCCAAGCCCCTTCTCCCGTTACAGGATCCTGCCCTGCCTGGGACTGTATTTATGATGCTGTTATTGTTTCCGGAGCAACAGAAGAGGAGATGACAAGCAGAGGAACAGGATTATTATTTATGCAACGACCGTGCATGGCTTGGAGATCCAGACTGAGGGCTGCCCACGCCCATAGCTCTGGGGGGCTGCTTTGGGGCTGCCTCTAGCAGGGAGATGAAGCCTAGGTCCCAAAGAGCCCCCTTTTCCCCTGGGCTGTGTGCCCCATTGCAGCAGAGCTTGGCACTAATTTGGGCAGACATTTGTGCTCCCATTGATGGTCTGCTAGCTCCGTGCAAGGGGTTCAGGCAGGTGCAATGCAAAGAACAAGGGCTCAAGCCTGTCACTGGCGGTACGGAGAAGGAGTGTGACGACAGGAGGAGAGGGGCAAGGGGAAGGTCCTGGGCGCCCCTGCACCAATTCAAGCCCATGGACTTCCACAGAGTGGCTGCCAAGGTCCTCTTGCACGAAGTCCCCCGCG